CTGTGATTTGGAGTTGCCGATATGATCTTGTGCTATTCATAATGAGGTAAAACGACACGTTGTGGGTCAAATTTTGTCCAAACATTTTGCTGCTCTTTGATTGTTCTTCATGGATCTTCACGGTAAGAGTACGATTACCAATTAGAATTGGTCTTAGCGACTTCAGAAGCGATAGAAACCTAATTTATATATCATTATGTTTCGAGTAGTGTGACTTACTGTTCTATACTTTGGGGTTCCTAAATACAATACTTATATAGCTGTCACTGTATATTATATACGTATACATTACATATGTATGTATTATGTATGTATTATGTATGTATTATGTATGTATTATGTATGTATTATGTATGTATTATGTATGTATTATGTATGCTTTGAAATCGTGTATTTCAGCATGCTTTGAAGGTATGCAGTTTTCCCCAAAGGCAGAGCAAGTCTACAGCAGGCTCTAGATGATAGTCTTACGTGGATCATCTCCCGATCTTTGAGCGGATAGTCATTGAGATACCTGAGCCATGGAAAGGTATACCCTCCAGTAAATTAACATAACTATGGAAAATGGACCATTTATAGATGATTTGCCTACACAAATTGTGATTTTCCATAGCTATGTTAAATTACCAGAGGGTACCCCTGTTGATTGGTAGATGGTGAAACTAACTGGATGGATACATTAGTACTTTGATCTCTTGCTGTAGATGGGGAAGTACTGGGATATATAATCAACCATAATCACAACCCCTTTGAGCGGCTACTTCTCATGGGGGGACCAGACCAAAATGTCAGATACATTTTTTAGGACCCCCCCTTAGATGTAAAAACTCTGTCGCTGAACGTCCTCGAGGTGACGTTTTTGTGGGAGGGTTTTATAAATACCTTCAACATGCAAGCTAACGTTTGTAAAGTCCCCCTGAAAACCACCTTGATAATGTATTTTACATTTGGGTATTGGTCCCCCCGCTAAAAGGGGAGTGATGATATATGCCAAGCAGCAAAAAGTCTATTGTTTTGCAGGCCATCTGAGAGTGGAAGAGGATTTTACAACCTGGCTGGGGATTGTAAGCGATTTTGTTGGAGACATATCAACTAACCCCATGACCCTAATATTAAACACCCCTTTTTTGCATGGTCCCAATGGAATGTGGAAATTCCCTACATCCGCCATGGTTTCGTTGAACGGGCGTGTTTAATATGAACGGGGGAAGGGAAACTAGGCTTATTTGTCAGGGCTCACCTCGGCTTGCCCAATTGGTCCCGGTTAAACCACTGCCGAATATGTTTCTAGTGGGGATATAATTCCGGGAATTCTGGGTAAATTCTGTTTTAAGTTCATCTAGATTAATGTTCTCCTTTCGATTGGGATGTATTAAGAAGCAGCCAAAAACATTAAACTTTTTGCAAGGTGTCAGGTAGCTTGGCAATGGTTTTCCACACGTTTTCGGTTGGGGCTTCCATCAGAACCTCGTCCAGACCCTCCAGACCCTCGGGTCTGATCCAGGAATACTCGACCTTAGCGTGCTATAAGCTGTCGCTAATGATCGGCTTGCCTGTTGTAGGCAGGGTATAGTTTCTATACTAGGTTGTTGGTTAATCATGGTTAATATAATTGTTAATAATGGCTATAACAATGGTTATAATACTGTTAATAATGGTTAATAATGGTTAATTGTGGTTCATAATGGTTATCATAACCTTGGATGGGTAGTTTAATCCTTTAGTCTCTTGGTATCAATTGAGCAATTTGTGGCATGGCATTTGAATTTGTAGTTGTTTGCTTGCATGCTTTGTGTGTACAGTTTTCATCTTGCATGTGTGTTACCAACTTCCCCGCCAATATGGCCCGGAGCTGTTGAGTTCTGCGTTGACAAGCAGTCCGACTCGCGGTATCAATGAGATTATCTACTAACCAGCTAAGATGTTTTTTTGCAGGGCATCCAAGATAAGCACTGTACTGTATAGTTTTCCTTCCGAAACTAAAGACACTACTACGACCTGCAGGCCAACATGCAGTCACTATTGTAGTATTTTTTCCTACACAATGCACACTTGCTCGGTTTAGCAATCTGATGAATGGACGCTAATGAATGAAGCTGGCAGACTTCGAATTTGTATCTTCAGGATGAAAGGTTTTTGGATGCTGAAATTCCCTGGCTCGCTCGCATGGGCTCACCAAAGAATTAGCTGGTCAACGCCTAACCCGCCCGCGCTACAAGTCCAGCATGGTTTTGGGAATGGCATTAAGGGCTAAGCGCCTTAATGACCGCAGGGTTCCTAGATGTTGAGGCGGCCGGCACAAACCTGTGTTGAGTGCTTAACCTTTATTGCCCGGATATTCTCTGCGGGGCACGTTGTGACCCACAGATTGCCAACAGCATTTACTGTATCACAACATGTTTGAGGAACATGTTCTGCGCTAAGTCGAGCTCGCAGCCCTTGGGCCACTCCTGTGTTTGAGTGTGCGGCCCGCAACTCTGTGGTTTCACTGTTCTTGTGT